ACGTCAGTCCTAAAAAAGACAAAACCTGCAGCAGGAAGCACGTCAGTCCTAAAAAAGACAAAACCTGCAGCAGGAAGCACGTCAGTCCTAAAAAATATAACTCAGTACTCACTGCAGTGAGTGACAGAGAGCGCATTTTATCGTCGACAGAAATGTAAAGTCACGGACGGCCAGACAGACAGACGGACAGACAGACAGACAGACGAACAGACGGTCAGACAGACGGACGGACAGATGGACAAACAGATGGACAGACAGACGGACGGACATGACGAGCACAATAAGGCATTTTTTCCATAAATGAGAAAATGCGCTAAAAAGACTTAACATGCCACAGGAAGAACGTCAGTTTCTATTCATAGAGATTTACTACTTTCTTTAGATCTGAAAACATACATTATAGTTGATGCATTTCAAAATAAGTGGCTCGTGATGTACTTGGAATCCATAGCCTGGACATTTTCAAGTAAAAACATAAATTTTGATTAGCTTAATATCAAGAACTTAAAACCACACTTAACTCCCATTCGGCCTCCGTCAGCTCCCCAACCCTGCCGTCCTCCCTCAGCTCCCCAACCCTGCCAGCCTCCCTCAGCTCCCCAACCCTGCCAGCCTCCCTCAGCTCTCCAACCCTGCCAGCCTCCCTCAGCTCTCCAACCCTGCCAGCCTCCCTCAGCTCCCCAACCCTGCCAGCCTCCCTCAGCTCTCCAACCCTGCCAGCCTCCCTCAGCTCTCCAACCCTGCCAGCCTCNCCCCAGGTAGTCCCCGTAGTGGTTCCTGTTGAGGCTGCAGCGGCGCCGCTCCTTCGCCCCCTGCAGCATCGCCGCCGCCGCCTCCTTCTCGCACTGCTGCCGCTTCTTGCTGTAATAATGCCGGATAATAAGTAACAACGACGTATAATAATGCTGTATAACAATGATGTATAATAATGCCGTATAATAATGCTTTACAACAATGACGTAAGATTAGGGCTGCATAATAATGTCGGATAATAATGCGTATAACAATGACGTATAACAATGACGTATAATAATGCCGGATAATACGAAACAACGAATTTAGATATATATTTGTACCCTTATTCAGAGCTAGTTTTCAAGCTTATTCGTAGGTCGTATTTGTAATTCATAATTCGTATTCGTAAAACTGAGATGTGCGTTACCTGAAATGTTTTTTGAAGGCAGCTTGGATGACGCGCGCGTAGTGGTCGAACTTTCGCTCCCGCGACTCCTCCAGCATATACAGCGACTCGGGGTCCTAATCGGTCATGGTATCAAAAAAACTAATTAATACAAATAAAAACAAGATTGAATAGCTCCAAATACTTGATTTACTACTTCTAGATGGTAAAAAAGAACTGTTAAGTGCATACTTGGGCTCGGGGTATATATTTATTAGTCGGAAGAGTGTTATAATGTTATAACGCTAATGCTTTTACCAACATTTTGTCTACGGATACGTACAATAGATTGTTTTGATTTAGATATCTCGGCAATTCACATAATTCCGCTATTGGCCGCTACTTATACCTGGACGTTATTGGCACCTTATTTATCCATGAACCTTATTGGTTCCTTTATATATTCATGAACGTTATTGGTACCTTTATATATATTCATCAATGTTATTGGTAGCTTTATATATTCATGAACGTTATTGGTGCCTTTATATTTTCCTGAACGTTATTGGTACCTTCATATATTCATAAACATTATTGCTACCTTTATGAAGAGCTTGGTCTTGCCGAGCTGGTACTGCGTATGGTCCATGTTAACATGACGCATGATGATGGAGATGCCCTCGTGTGGGGCGCCGCCCCAGTGCGGCCACGTCTCCTTCGTCAGGATCGCGTACCGCGCCAGGAACTTCTGGAAGGGACGGCGGTAGGCGAACCCTGCGCGCTTAACTTTGATGTTCTCCTTCAGGCCGAGATATTCCACCTGCAGGGAACAATGTGCATTAAAATCCCTACACTTAACGTTGCAAAAAAATCACTTAATTATTTTACCGCTCAAACAAGTATAAAACTGAAATTTAATGAACGCCTCAGTCAAGAGTCGATACTTTTAAGTTAAGCCAAAGCCATGACGCGATCCATTAAAATTTTTTTATAGACGACGTTCCAGTAACTATCATGGTCACATCTTGTGCGCTCATCAGGCACAGTTAATCATTTTGATCCATCTGATGCTTAAAGTCATTAAAATGTTCATTAAGCGAAAGAAAATAGCTCCTATCTATATTTCTAGGACTATGGTCATACGGCCACTAAAGCGCAGAGGTAATGACACGAGAAAAGAGGACTTAGCCGTGGGTTTGATCCTTAGCGAGATTTGTCTCAAGAGGGCGGCGCTTGGTAGTCGTCGAGAGTGGTGCATTAGCACAGGCTTGGGTAATGCCCCAAAACGAACTCCGAGTGCGTGTTACCTAAGAGATTTTAAGGTCCTAACGCCAGCGATAACGCACCTGATGCCTGACTCTGTCGTGATCCCAGTCCCTGGGTTTCTTGGTCTCGTTGGGTTTGATGCATCGTATGTAGTGNTAATGTCGACGTTGAGAACATCTCTGTTCTTCTCACAGAATCCCTCGACGTGGTAGGACACAGAGCCCGCGTAGTGCTTGATGGTGAAGCCGTCCTTGAAGGCGGAGTAGTGAGGGTTCGTCCGCAGCTGTGGGACACAATATTGTTTATTGAATTATTGCTTGCATATTATTACTATACTGAGTTGTTGCTAGAAAATATTTAGTGTTTCAGTGTGGGTTCGTACCTAGCTGCGGGACACACAATATTATTTATTGAATTATTGCTATTGCTAGCTTATTATTACTATGCTGAAATGTTGCTAAAAAATATATAGTGTGGCAGTGTAGGTTTGTACGCAGCTGCGGGACACACAATATTATTTATTTAATTATTGCTAGCTTATTATTACTACACTGAAATGTAGCTTGAAAATATATAGCGGAGCAGTGGAGGTATATATGTACTTAGCTGCGGGACACAAGATATTATTACTGGACTGAATACTTGTAATATTATTACTTCGCTGAATTTTTGTAGTACTATTCTGCTTAATACTTGCAATATTATTACTCCGATGAATTGTTGCAACATTACTGTGCTGAATTCTTGAAATATTATTTATTCTGCTTAATTCTAGTAATGTTAATACTCTGCTGAATTCTTGCAATATTAAATACTCTGCTGAATACTTGTAATATTAACACTCTGCTGAATATTAACAATTTAGTTATTCTGCTGAATCATTGCTAGGAAATATTCAGACAGATCCACACCGACAGCGAGATTTGGGTTTTTGGTCTGTATATGTCGTATTACAGATAAAAGAATTTATTTTTGAATTATGGTATGTTAAGAGAGTAATTAAAATGTTCCATGTTAGCTTTATATGCATCTTCAGAAATGACTGTGGCCCGCATTTGAAAAAATAGCGCTAGAAAATTGGTTTTCCATCATAAGACAAAGCAACACGAGATGAAACCTATACGTGAATGAAGCTTGCACTTGCATGTAACTTGAACTAATAGTCTAATACACATTCTCAGATGGAATATTAATTTCTTATATTTATACATGAGAGATGTCGACGACAAATAATAATATATAAAAAGACATTTCATACGAATTTCCGACAAATAAAACAAATAATTTTTATTCTTTAAGCTTACATGAGTTACCGACGACAATGAACAGATAATTATTATTTATTACATTTACACGATTTACGGACAATTATTAACGGACAATTAATTAACGGACAATTATTTGTTATATTTCCACCGACGACAATATATACAAAATAATGAATAATTATGACCTGTGAGTCCATCTTGTTCCTGAAGTCGCTATCGGCGCCCTGCGACACGGCGGACATGGTGGCGCACGTGTCGTCCAGGACACACATGATGCCCACGGGACGCTTGGCCTCGATCAGCTCACACACCACCGCGTTGTTGAAGTAGTCGATGGGCTTCCACGTGATGCCCTGCACAAGAGTATGTGTTGTTACAGTGTACAGCAGTGTGTACTGTTACAGTGTACAGCAGTGTGTACTGTTACAGTGTACAGCAGCGTGGACGGAGTATTATTTATTATTCAATTGACAATCATTAGTTATATTTCCCTCACTCCCCAACTAAGGAAACTAATTAAGGTTACAGTGTACAGCAGCGTGTACTGTAACAGTGTACAGCAACATGTGCGTTTAAAGTGTACAGCAGCGTGGACTGTTATAGAATACAGCAGCGTGTACTGTTACAGTGTACAGCAACATGTGATCTTGGGTGCTGCAATGAGTCGTAACTTTGGGACTTGATTTGAGACGTAATGGCGTCTGTCCCCGATAATTTCGGGACGTAATGGCGTCTGTCCCCGATAATTTCGGGACGTAATGGCGTCTGTCCCCGATAATTTCGGGACGTAATGGCGTCTGTCCCCCATAATTTCGGGACGTAATGGCGTCTGTCCCCGATAATTTCAGGACGTAATGGCGTCTTTTCCTGATAATTTCGGGACGTAATGGCGTCTGTTCCCCATAATTTCGGGACGTAATGGCGTTTGTTCCCCATAATTTCGGGACGTAATGGCGTTTGTTCCCCATAATTTCGGAACGTAATGACGTCTGTACTTCTTAATTTCGGGACTTTATGGCGTCTGTTCCCGAGATTTGGGATAGAGAAGGTCAGAATGAACTTAAACCACAGGCAAAGGTAAATATTGATCGTGATTTATTCCAGCTATGAATTGCAGCCACATTTTGTAGTTGGAAGC